AAACAATTACTGGTCTCCATAATCTGGAAGATAGGAGAGACACAAAGATCCTCACCCAGCTCTCCAAATACCACCACTTTCAAGAACAACCCATGTACAGCCGACTGCAGAAACCCCAGAAGGCTAGACTAAAGAGAACTTGCTTTATTAAGAACGCAAATGCCAAGCTCGCTGTCCTTAAACTCCCTCCCATAATACCAAATGTTCCACTTAAACCTTACAACGACTGCCCCGCTTGGCTTAGGGATAGCCTACCAACAGTCAGAACCACTGTAACAGGGGTCTCCTCCAAATCATCAATGAGCAGCACTGATATGAAATCAACTACAGAAGGAGAGATCAATAGACTTTACCCACACCAGAGTTGAATTCGAGTGTATACAGATGGTTCAGCCAAGAGAGCAGTAAGAGACGGAGGAGGAGGAATATACATAGAATGCCCAAATGGTTTAAAAATCAACCAGGCTGTACCAACAGGTTCATATTCCTCCAATTACAGAGCAGAGGCAGAAGCACTTCTAGCGGCATGTTCTTTCCTGAATGGACAACAGCACAGCAAATATAGCAGAGTGGTCTTTCTGACTGATGCTATGTCAGTTCTACAAGCAATTGTTAACCCAAAAGACACTCAGTTTGTAGACTTGACGCAACAGCTGATTCACTTAGGCTCTTCAGTAGAACAATCTGTACTGCAGTGGATTCCAGGTCACTGTGGCTTGGAAGGCAATGAAATAGCGGACAGATTAGCCAGAAGCGGCAGTGACATGGTACAACCAAATAGCGACTTAACCCACCAAGCGATGAAAACACTAATACAATCTAGTATCCAAGAAAGGTGGCTGGATACCCACACCAGATTTTCTCCCCAAGACTCACTTCATCGCCTCTCTAGAGAGGGGCAGTCTATTATATTCAGACTAAGGACAGGGCACAACAGATTTCGTCAACATATGTTCAAATTTTTCGGTGTAGGAAATACGGAGACGTGTCCTTGCAGCGTGGCACCCGAAAATGCTGAGCATGTGCTCCAACACTGTCAACTGTATGCTGACAACAGAGACGCAATCTGGCCTGTTCCAACCACAATAAAGACAAAACCGAATGGTACACAAGAGGATATGGATTGCACGATAGCTTTCATAAAGGCTACCGGCCTCCTGATATAAGTTTTCTGACAGAAGGATCGAAGAAGAAGAAGAAGAAGAAGAAGAAGAAGAAGAAGAAGAAGATAAGTGTTTTTCTGTGAAACCACATCTCAATAAACTGTATAGCTTGTTGAATAATTGGCCAGGATTCACAGTCATCTGTTAAAATTTGCTCTATATAACATACAAGAATTATTTATCTAATCTCCAATGCCATGGAATTCATACAATTTTCTTCATTTTATAACATGCAGTTTTGACCTGTCCCATTGTGTTCTGTCTCTCTGTGATACATCTTCCGTCTAGACACTTTTATTTCTGTACTCGCCCTAAAACAATACCTTTGACTTTTATTATACGTTTAGGCACCATTCTTTTCTTTAATATGACCCTAACGAAGCGGTACTCAAACTGGGTGCCGCGGCACACGGGGGGTGCCATGAGCGTATGCCAGGGGTGCCGTGAGCGTATGCCAGGGGTGCCGTGAGCGTATGCCAGGGGTGCCGTGAGCGTATGCCAGGGGTGCCGTGGTGATAATCAAGAATTTTTGAAAATCTGCTTGAGATAATCGAAGACAGCCGATTCAAACAGAAATACTATGAAGGAAAAGTTCTGGATGAAGGTGAGTTCAGAAAACAATGCTATTGGCAAGGTTGCAGTGCATTCTTAACGTACGCTCACATTTAAAATAAAAAACAGATAAAAGAGCAACCTTCAAGTGATTTGTGGGTACAGTTAACGAAACTTCTCATAAACATAAAGGAAGTAATGACAGATTATCCAAACCTTTTCCTTCATCGCATTAAAGACAACTGAACATTAAATCTGAACTGTTTTTCTTCTTTTGCTAAGTACCAGGTTAGTTGCGTATCCATTACAGGACGTTGCAGAACCAACCCCAGCAGCCCCTGGCTGTTGTGTGGTTTCTCTAAGCAAATTTACGTCCAGTAGTTTGCCATTCCTTCCTGGACGGTCGGGTTTCTTGATACCACTGTCGAAACCAACGCAAGGCGCATTGCCCGCAGCTGGGATCGAACCCGGCACCCCGGCATTACGAAGCGTTCGCATCGACTTGGCCACAGAGCCGACCTTTTGCTAAGTATTCAAACCGTTTAAAGGTATGTGTGTCTCGAAAAAAAATTTGCCCCACATGGGTGATTCAGAGAAAAAAAATGTAAGAAAAGCTGCCCTAACATATAGTTATTACGAATAATGTAAAAAAGACAAATGTACTTTACTACATCAGTTCCAGAAACTCTGCTTGCCGGGTGTCGTGTGTGTCGGGGGCTTCCGTAGTGAAGTGGTCAAGCCGTTTGCCTCTCGCTCTGAAGGTCGTGGGTTCGTTTTACGGTTGTGTTGTTCAGTTCTCAAGTGCAGTTTTCAGGGAGATTCCTGGTTATCGTCGTCAGAGCTACGGAGTTCGCGCTCTGTGCTATGCTCTCGGCAGACGACTAGCCATTCTGCTGGGAGAGACCGAGCCGTATGGGATAAAACCCGATGCAATGAAGTCAATCCTCTGGATTTTTTCCCTTACCTTTTTTTTTTTGTTTTTGTTCAGGGAACTTTGTTTCCACTTACCTATGTTATTACCTTTCTTTACTCACTATGTTTTGTTGTTTTGTTTGATTTTTTAGAGCCCCACCCTGGTTCTGAGATTTGTACCCGAGAGATTCTTATCCCAATGGTGGTAATTTGTGTCACCGAGTGTTTATCGCTTGTTGCACGGTTCTGGTGGGATTTGAACCAGTCAATCAGTTTTAACTAGTGAAAAGAGGTTAGTAAGGGGCAATAAGTAAGGAATCGAGTCAGAAATACATGAAATAATTAGGCTCCCCTTTTGTGGAATTTATTTTGTAAAGGAAACAATAATGTATTGTTTCGCTACTAGAATGAATTGTTACGTACCTTAAACTTTATTATCTGAATATTTATACAGTGATGAAAATAAGGTGGACAGCAGTCAAGCTAATAACAAGGAATTAATCTAGCCAACTGCGACTTAAAAGCTTAAAGAAATGGGAAAGCAGAAAAATGTGCACAAAACAACACAAAATAATTGTGCATGTTTAGGCGTTTCCCCATTTCTTTAAGCCAATCAAAAAAGAAACCTCTTTCATGTCATGCCATTGTGGGATGCAATTTTTCGTTATTTGAAGCCTTACTCTGGCTATTGCCAGGGGCCGCAATATAGCCCGGCCATAAATATGGTCTAATGGCTAAACGCGGTTTCTGGGACCTCACCGCGGGTGATCCTCATACACATGATGGCACTTTGTGTTATCGGGTGTTTATCGCTTGTGTGATGTCCTTGTGGGGTAAAAATAGATAGATTAAGCCAGTTATTCCCAAACTGTGCGCCGCGGCGCCACGGGGAGCCGCGACTTCTACACAGCTCGCCGCGAAATATTGTAAAAGCTTCCTAATTAATTTAACCAAGACACGAACAATCAAACTTTGACTTAGGTTAGGGCGCCGTGGAAACATTTTTATTGAAAAAAAAAAAAAAAGGCTCCGCGACCAAGAAAAGTTTGGGAAACGCTGCTTAAAGCTTTTCAGTCACAGTTCATTTGATTAATTCCTTGTCTGAATTTTTGTACTTTTTGGGCTGCTACCGGAAGTGTTGACACCACAGTGACTTACTGGGTCGTATTGTGGATATCAACTCATCAAGATAGAACCAAGATACTCTGTTAAACCTCATAAGAATTTAACAGTTAGGGCATTAGTATAGTCTACGAGAAGTAGTTACCTAAATGGTTTGTTGCGTGGTTTCAGCTTCGTGTTTACAACACACAAACAATACAATCATAAGACCAGATCGAGAAGAAAATGTTGAATTTTGAATTAAGAATTGACACCATAGCACTCGTGACATTCTCATTAACGCTCCGTTCCCATCTCCAGCAGCAAGGGAAGAGTTCCAATTCCGATGATACCAATAACTGCTTGGTTGTATATAAGTCTGGGAAGAGTCAGAAAATAATATGTGGTAGGGAACCAACAAGGGGCTGTCAGGTTCAAGCGCATGTATTCAGGCTCACACTAACATGCCGTGTATTGATAGAGAGATACGCTAGAACAGTGGTTCTCAACATATGGCTTTCACAAGGGTCCCGAAGACCATCGCAGAACACATATTCACTGACGATATAAAATAGTAACGAAAACATGAATTCTTGGGGAACCGCCACAACATGAGGAACAGGGTCGCGGGCTGCATTAGAAAAGTTGAGAACCACGGCGCTAGAAAGACAGACTGGGACAGAAAGCTGTCTACAGTGAAACTATAATTAGCCGCCGGGAAACGACCCCTCGACCTTTAGAGCGCGAGGCAAATGGCCTTACCAATTCGCCACGGAAACGTAGGTTTGTAGCATTAGAATGCATTTCTGCACATTACTACTCTTAAATTGAAGTTTATATAAATTCTTTTGTAAATTAAATACAATGTGTGTGCATTATTCACTTTGGAATAAATTTATTTTAATTTTCGTCCTAAGCCCGCAGTGCAATCACGTTACTGGACATCCAATTATCCGTCACAACCCTGACGGTTAATCGAAGTTTTACTAAGAGAGAAGAGAGAGAGAGAGAGAGAGAGAGAGAGAGAGAGAACAAAGTTCTACTGTAAAAGAGAGAGAGAGAGAGAGAGAGAGAGAGAGAGAGAGAGAGAGAGAGAGAGAGAGAGAGAGGGAAAGACCCCTCGTCATTTTGTAAACACGGAAATAAGCCCAGGCGCATGCGCGCGACCTCCATGCCACAACCCCTGGAAGTTGACCTGTTTTCAAAGAAAGTTTTTCGGCCGTTTCCTTTCTCACCAACTTGACCAGTTATGTGTCATGATTCCCCGTCCAGATGCGTTTGTCTCTGAGAAAGGTGGTCAGATTGGCCACCTTTCTAGTATTGCTGTTGATACTTAACGTATGGATTAGCTACAATGTCAACTTTTACAGTTTTGACGACCGTGGGAAAGTTTTGCAAACTTGGAGACGCGAGGGGGACCATGGCCAAACGGACGAGGCTCGACTACTCAAATTTGAAAGGAGTGTAGACGACATCGATGGATCTAGTGGAACTAGACCGATTAGAAGTACTAAACAAGTTAATGCAGACAACGAACGGGATTCTTCTGCCCGGAGTCAACAGTTTGTTAATGAGACAGGCGAAAAAGAACTTGTTGCGCCAGTCAAGGGAAGCGACTTGTTGCTGACGACGACAAGCAGACGTGGAGGAAGCAACCCCAAACAGGGCGGAACAGGACCAAAATCGCAGAAAAATCTTCAAATTCGTGTACACAAAGACTCAGACAAGACGGAGTTGAAAGATATATTTATCAGCGTCAAGACTACTTCCAAATATCACGGACCCAGAGTTAAACTGCTTTTGAAAACTTGGTATCTTTTGGCCAGAGAGCAGGTAAGTAATGTGTAATGTATGAATGTATGTGTTTATTTTCTTTCAATAAATTAAAATTTAATTATTAAAGCAATCTTAATTATCTTATTCCGCCCACATTACTGCGTTTACTTTCTAACTGTAATGTGCCATAATATTTTAACTTTATTATATAGTTGAACGGAGCTTCTTGGATTTTTGGTCATATTTGATTCTTAGCAGTGATGTTTTATTTAATGCAATCCTGTAGAAATAAAAAGTCCCGGCTCTTCTTTCAATACAGGCCAGTAGCTGGAAAGCCGCCGATCTGCTTAGTGGGAGTTCTCTCCCTTGGCTGCATTGCAAACACGGAGCGGAAAAGTCACGAATCAAATGACATACTTACCTATCATCATCATACGGTTGCGTGTACGGTTGCATAGTCATCATACGGTGGCGTAGGGGTTGGGTTAGGGGTAGGGTTAGATGTGACAATTTTGACGTAGGAGTTCCAAATAATGGCCGACAATCTGATGCTTGTGGTAGTGGCGCCACTGGAATTCTCCCAAATATGACGGCAATAGCGTGCGGCTAGTGCCCAATCGGTGGTGAATTGTCCGTTTGAGTAGCATCCACAATTCTTCGATTGTTTGGGTGTGTATGTGATTATTTAGACCTCCTGCGTCAAAATTGTCACATCTAACCTTACCCCTAACCACACACATTTATCGGTCATTAAGTCATACAGATCTGCAGGAGTCACATCCGTGGCAACTTATACCACTTGTATATAAGGATATATTTACTTTAAAAAAAACCAGATTTCCCCGAAGCGTCAAATAAACACCCAGATCTGGGGGAAACACCCAAGCATTGGCAGCCCTGTTGTCGACCTCACTGTCTTTGTTGATTCGTGACTTTTCCGCTCCATGTTTGCAATGCAGCCAAGGGAGAGAACTCCCACTAAGCCGATCGGCGGCTTTCCAGCTACCAGCCTGTATTGAAAGGAGAGCCAAAGTCCCCACACCCTTTCTGAGGATTCAAACCTGGGTTTCCTGCTTGAGAGCCCAGCATTCCATCAGTTTGGCCAGCCAGTCCTTTACTTTTATTCACTTGTTTCACTGGTGTTTGTTTTGTTCAGCTCAACACAAACTAAACTAATGAGAAATAAACATAAAATCCAGTTGTCTCAAACAATAGAAAGCAATAGAAGACGTTATATACCTCGGAAGTAAATGTGCACCAGATGTATTATCTGTCAGAGGAAAATCAAAGTGTCTTAGTATGGAGACAAAACTCAGAAAATACATTATATTACAAAGAGTTAAAGTATAGATTAACTTCATTGCATATGATTTTATCCCATATGGCTTGGTCTCTCTCCACAGACTGGCTAGCTGCCACACAAAACATGAGGCTCTCCTCTGAACTTCTGCCCCGGCATTATGGCGGCCAAATAAATATCCTAAGAGGGCCTCAGTCCTATTAAAAATATGTGCACTTCCGGCAACGAACAAATCGCAGCAAAACTATGATTACCTGACAATTTCAAGAGACGCAACACTGCAGACGATAATAGCGACTGTTGACTCTTTCAAGCGTTTCTGCATACGATACTAGCAGACGATACTAGCGACCATTGACAGTTTAGAGACATGCAACATTACAGACGATAAAAGCGACATGGTGGGAAGACCACGCGCTCCGATGCAGATTAGGGTCGTTGTTGTCCTCAAACTTTTCTTCATGCGAAAAACGCAGTTACACTCACCGCCGACAATATCCCCCACACAGCTACGTGCGACGCTGATGGGGGGCTAAACTGGGACTCACAAGAAAATAAATTGGAGGAAGTTGCAGGAGATGAGGCAGCTGCTGCTTGTGAGTCCCAGCCATCTAGTTTAGCTCCCATTCGCGCCGTGTGTAGCGGCACTGGGGATGCGTTCATCGGTGAGGCATAGTCAGGGAAACAGGTCCACAATTAACATATTGCTGTGACCCTGTTAGAGCATTTGTTTCATTATACAGACCCGATCCTAGTTTTGCCGCTCGGCAGGAAGTGCGAGAAGTCCACATTTTTCATAGGACTGAGGCCCTGTTAGGATATTTGTTTGGACGCCATAATGCCGGGGTAGAAGTTCTGAGGAGAGCCAACATGACTTCTTTTGCTCCAGCGATGAACCTAGGAGAACTCCATAAAAATTGCATCATGCACTGTATGATCCAGTCTGTAAAATGAACCCCTGACCGTCAGAGCGTTAGGCAGACGGCTTGACCACTTTGCTGCAGTCTTTAAAAGTGATATTATGTTTAGCTGGAACTTTTCCATGTTTTTATAGAGTTGTGTATGGCTTGATCTCTTTCCATTGTTAGTCCTAATATGTATCCTTCATTTCAAGAGAGCTTGTATGGATTTTTTTTTTAAGTTGAGACTTTTCTGTCTTTTTAGATGATATTGTTCCATTCGGCTGTAGCAGCAGTTCTCAACCTGCCGGTCGCGACCCATTTTTGGGTTAAACGACTCTTTCGGAAAACACATATTTATTGAAGTTAGGAAAGAAGATAATTGTTTTTGGGTTGCCACAACATAAGGGAACTGTATTAAAGATCACTAAACTAGGAAGGCTGAGAGCTTCTGAGCTATAGGGAGGTATGGGAATCACAACCGGTGACATATTTCTTCTTAGGTCCTCAGCTCCCAGTCTGTTTTCAATTCCTTTCCCTTTGTTCCTGTTCCTAACTCTCCTCCTCCATACATTGGGAGCAGTAGCATCATATTCCAGTTAACCCACCTGGGCACATGAAAGGTGCATGTGTTTATTATGTAACTGATTTATAATTCAGAGCTAATTAATGTTTGTGTACCCCACACAGGTTTACTTTTTCACTGATGGAAATGACACAGAGATTGCTGAAATTTTAGGTGAGCCTATATTTTCTCTCCTTTCTCATTGTGTGCAGCCATCACCATGTAAGTTCAATGGACCCAAATGTGAAAGGGGGAGAGGGGAATAGACCCACAGCCCTCTTAACAATCATTTTGTAAATAGCAACTAATTTGGGGTTTGCCTAACCCTTTTGCCCTGTAAGAATCTTAAAAAATTACCCTTTTTCAAATGTCATGTTTTTTAATTTTTTTTTTATTTTACATGCATCTTTATAATTCTTAAAACTCTACCATTAAAACCTTTTTTTAAAAAAGAGAGAAAGCAGAAAAAGTTTTTGTCTTTATCAGTTTTTTTGTATATCTAGGGGTTGAACCCCTGTCTAGACTACCAAGAAAAGCTTGCCTGAAGTCCTCTGCTTCTTTAATGACCTCATGTTGCTCAAAGAAATGTTTTTTTTTTTCTTTATGATCACTGAATGTCTAAATTAGGAAAAGGTTTATTTCTGCATGAAGGGAAGTAATCACTGAATGCAAACCCAGCAAAGAGCTGATTATCTTCCCTTTGACCATTAAAATGTGGTTTTTGTCACTTTTCTATAGAGAGCAATGTGACATAATCATGTAATTATGTCACATCATAGTAATGTCACAATTTATGAAAATCAAAGTTTTGCAACCCCAAATAATATCTACAGAACAGAAATTGTGTAAATATAATCATACCCACCATGTCTGCACTGTGCAGCTGCAGCCAGTACCATAGCCATCAAACAGGCCTAATAGGCCAGCACCATAGCCATCAAACAGGCCTAATAGGCCAGCACCATAGCCATCAAAAAGGCCTAATAGGCCAGTACCATAGCCATCAAACAGGCCTAATAGGCCAGCACCATAGCCATCAAACAGGCCTAATAGGCCAGCACCATAGTACCCATCAAACAGGCCTAAATAGGCCAGTACCATAGCCATCAAACAGGCCTAATAGGCCAGTACCATAGCCATCAAACAGGCCTAATAGGCCAGCACCATAGCCATCAAACAGGCCTAATAGGCCAGCACCATAGCCATCAAACAGGCCTAATAGGCCAGCACCATAGCCATCAAACAGGCCTAATAGGCCAGCACCATAGCCATCAAACAGGCCTAATAGGCCAGCACCATAGCCATCAAACAGGCCTAATAGGCCAGTACCATAGCCATCAAACAGGTCTAATAGGCCAGCACCATAGCCATCAAACAGGCCTAATAGGCCAGTACCATAGCCATCAAACAGGCCTAATAGGCCAGCACCATAGCCATCAAACAGGCCTAATAGGCCAGTACCATAGCCATCAAACAGGCCTAATAGGCCAGTACCATAGCCATCAAACAGGCCTAATAGGCCAGTACCATAGCCATCAAACAGGCCTAATAGGCCAGCACCATAGCCATCAAACAGGCCTAATAGGCACATTCCAAAGATATGTGAACAAAAAGCTCACAAATGCTAAACGCAGGGTGAGAGGGTTCCATCAGATATGTCGTGGCTAGAAGCTCTAAAGCTGCATTATTTATTACCTTGTTGCCTCTGCACTGAATTATTTAGTATGATATTTTTACCGGGCTTTGACTTCTTCACAACTTTCATGTTCAACTGAGTTTACTCAGGGCCCAGTATGGCCCCTGCCCCAGTCTTGAAAGATCATAATACCTTACAATTGGCAACGAACTGCTTGCTAGGGTTCTATTGACTGGATTCAGCTCTTGGGCCTCCAGTTGAATAACCACGATATAGGATTCCTTTGCTCTTATCATGATAGGCCAGAAACTTTTTTAAAACTAATGAGCACTTTTCTTCTTAGCATTTACCGGCTGAAAACTCGGGGGGAGGGGGGGGATTATGGTTGTTCATCCGCTTCTGGACTTTACTCGTGTTCCAGAACTTGAATTCTGCATGCACATCTGTTTTACCAAACTGGCTTATTTGTATGCAGCTAGGACACAGCTGATCAACATTAGGATAAAAATGATTTAGAAGCTGAGATCCTTTACTTGTTTATTATTATAAATAGTCTTCCCCCTTTCACATGTTGATTGAAAATTTATTTCAGGTGACCATTTGATCAACACCAACTGTTCTACAGACCACAGCAGGTCAGTTGATTCTCTTTTAAGTCATATTTTTATTTTAACTATTTAAAATATTACTATGCACATGTGAAAGGAAAGATAGCAAAGAAGATTTGAATATACAACACATGTCATGTTGTCGGCCCTTTACAAAATGTCGTTGTCATCACAACTTGGCAGAAAGTCACTCGGCCAACTTTCCTTCCTTACGAGTTATCCTGCCCATGGTGTCTTCGATATTCGGTTTCCTCCTTAATGATGACAGTTCTCACTACAATAGTGGTAGTTACGGGAGCACTCATGCTACACAGAGGAAAGGTGGGTAATAGTAATCATAAAGAAAACTGACCCTCTAGAATACAGCGTCAAAGTAAATGGGACAAACCTCAAGCCAGTTGATATGTTTGAGTACCCTGAAAACATCAGATGGACGATGTTTTAGAGAAGTTAAATGTTGAATAGCTCAAGCAAAGGCAGCATTTTACAAAATGAGGAATATTTTCTGTAATTTTTCTTTGTCATTTGAGATGAGAAAGAGAATTCTTAAGAGCTATATAAATCCTATCTTGATATTTGGTAGTTGATCATGGACAGTTGATAGATTAGTGCAAAATTATTTGGAAACTGAGGAAATGTGGTTTTATAGATGAATGATGAGGATCCCCTGGACATATAAAAAGAGCAATGAGGATGTCTTGAAAGAAACTGATCCATGAAGAGAACTGATTGCCCACCTCAGGAAGAGACAATCTACATTTTGTGGTCATGTGATGATAGAGAGAAAATGGGAGTACATTTTGACAATAGGAAAGTTGGAGCTGATTAGAGGCAGAGGGAGACAGAGAGAACAGATGCTGGACAGTTTGATATCATGACATGGAAGATCATCTGTGTAAGAGTTGGTTGAAAGTACACGAGACAGAAGGTTATGGATGGACATGACTGCGGACCACATGGATTTTAAGATGAAATCTCCCTTAGTTTGCACATTCACATGGCTGAGCACCTCACCCTTCAGTAGTTTTTTCGATTGCCAAGATGAGTGAGTACCCTGCTCTGTAATGCTATTGCGAGCAGCAGAGGTGTCTGCTTATCCTTGCGGATACTCTTTCCCCAAGACTCCATTAGCCGCACCGAGGTGCATTCCCATCCTCTACCGCGATGTGGTGCAGTTAGGATTTTTCCCTGTATCGAAACATAAGGCCAGCGGGCATTTCTCACACTCTAAATACTAGGAAAGTAATATACGAAGAGAATTTTTAGTGAAAGATATAATGACAAAAAAGAATATGTAAAAGTATAAAATATGATGCACTCATAAGGTGACTGAATGACGTGCTCTAACAACAGCAGTAAACATAATCTTAGGGACAGTTATATTTTACTCATAATTAAATATGGTTACTGGTACCATCAGAATTGGAACTCTTTGCTTGCTGCTGAAGATGGGGACTGAGCACTTATGGGAGTGTCCTGAGAGCTGTGATGTTGATTCTTGGTTCAACATTCAGCTCATAATTTACAATTATGTGTACTTATCATCATGTAGCAAATCTTTTACAGAACATCGCTCTCATCACAGACTACTTTGATGGGGGTCAGTCTCTCACCAGCTCTGCCGTCTTTTGTACCTACCTTTAGTATGTTTTTGCAAATTTAATTTGGAGCTGAGAATTAAAAGAATAATTAAATTTCTTTCAGGCGTGCACTGAGTTGTAAAATGGCAGTTGAGTTTGATTATTACATGGCTTCAAGGAAACGGTAAGGGATAATTTTCTTGTCCTGATTTTTCTTTTCTTTTTTAACCTGTACATGTTTACAGGAAGGAGCAATCTGTTTAACGTTGTTGTCAACTTAACGTTGTTGTCAACTTAACGTTGTTGTCAACTTAACGATGTTGTCAACTCCAGAGAGTTTGTCTTCAAATGGAGACATGGATATCAGGGACGACAATGGGGGGCACACATGGGGATAAGATCAAGAACAAAATTAGTGGGTGTCAATTTCAGTGATGAATGGTTCCGAGATGTTGCTAACCATCACATATTAGGGGTGATCATGTCTATACCTTTATCTTCTGCTGAGAGAGACCAGGCATCTGTGAATCTGGTAGTGATTCTTCATTGTATTCACTTTTTCTTTCTGTTCACTGACTGTGAACTCTGGGAAAGTTCTGATTGCTCATCCACTTCTTGACTTTAAGTCTTTTTGTGTGCACATCCTTTTTACCGATCTGGCTTGTTTGTTTGCATACTGTTGGTTGCTCGCCTATCAGGCATACGGATTCCGATTTCAAAGGAAACTTCCCTGATTAGTTGTCCTGTGGGTTCCAGGGTATATTGTGAGGAAAAACAAGAATGCACCCGCTCATCCCCAACAAGCATGTCTTAAAAGTCAATTAATTGGGAGCTTCCTTCAAAGATGGAGTGCATCTGCCTGAGAGGCAAGGAACCAACAATCTGCATACAATAAAGTGAGATCTGTTAAACAGATGTGCACACAATACTCAGGTTCTGGAAAAAGATTCAAGTCCAGAGGTGGACAGACAACCAGAACTTTCTGCCGGAGTTTACAGTCACTGAACACGAAGAAGGAGAAGAAGAAGTCGCCTTGTATGTCACGCTTTGGGGGGGTTGCAGTAGATGTATTCTTTTTGTTACCACAGAATGGGGTTCCAGAATCCACACTGGAAAGTCTCTCTGTTTAATTTGTCATGCATTTGATTCTGTGAGTGGGATAGACAAGAAATGTTATCAATGAAGTCTACATCTTCCAACTGTTTTAATTTTAGTTTTTTAAATTTTCACAGGCTGTAAACTCCCGGGAAAAGTTCTGCGTGTTGGTCCACTTCTGGACTTCAGTCCAGTTCCAGAAACTGAGTGTTGAGTGCACATCCGTTTCCCGGGTCTGACTCATCTGCATGCCGACTGTTGGTTCCTTGCCTCTCAGGCTTCAATTTCGTAATCAGTCAACTCTTACGACATGTTTTTGGGCATGGAGTGGGTCTATTCTTGTTTTTGCCACAATAGGGCCCCAGAAACCACACTGGAAATCTATGGACTAATATTAACTATTCCCTTATTGATGACCAAACATCTGCAGGTGGTTCTGTCATGTGGATGATGATGTTTACCTGAATGTGCCCAGGCTGGTGGACATGCTCCAGGGATACAATCACAGGGAAGACTGGTATCTAGGCAAGCCCAGCCTCAAACATCCTCTAGAGGTTGCTGACAGGGAAACACCTGGGGTAAGCAGCCTGGTTTCAAGCATTATACCTTTCTGTTTCTCGGTGTTCACCTGCTGTTAACTCCTGTTGAATGTCCTGGTTATTCATCCTGAGGACTTTGCTTCAGGATGTACGTGTTGGGTGCACATCCATTTTACAGGTATGGCTTATTTGTATGCAGGCTGCTGGTTCCATGCCTCTCAGGCAGATGCTTTCTGACTTCAGAAGAAAATGTTGATCCTGTCTATAGTGTCCAGACCCAAAGCTGGGAACCTGTTTCTGGGATGACCAAGGAGAGATGTAGATAAGCCATGATGACCCGAATGAGCCCCAGTCCTGGTGCACAACAACATGTGGTTCAGTACCCTGATATTACACCACTAAACATCAGACGGTTGGTAGTTTAATGGACAATTATTTAGAAGCTGTAGAGGGATGATAGGAATAACCTGGACAGATAAAAAGAGTAATGAGGATGTCTTGAAAGAGACTGATTCATGAAGAGAACTGATTGCCCACATCACGATCTACATTCTTTGGTCATGTGATGAGAAGGAGAAAACTGGAGCACATCCTGACAGTAGGAAAGTTGGAGGGACTGAGAGAGAAGATTCTGGACAGTCAGACATCATGGCGTGGAGGATTATCTGTGTTCAGAGTTGATTTAAAGTACACGAGACAGAAGGCTGTGGATATACATGGCATGGACTTTAAGAAGACATCAGACAAAAGATGTGTCTCAGAAATTAAGAGCAGAATAGGCCAGGCTAAGGCTGCATTTCATAGAGTGAAAAACATCTTGTGCAACAGGTCCCTCTCTTTGGATTTTCATAAGAGAGTACTGAAATGTTATGTGTAATCTATATTGCTGTATGGTAGTGAATCATGGAATGTGAGTGTACAAACTAAAAAGACTTTGGAGGGGAAGGAGATGTTGTTCCTCGGGCAAATGTTAGGAATTGCTTGGACTGTCAGAGTAATTAACAAGGATTGCTTGAAAGAAGCTAATGAAAAAATATTGAGATATACAGCTATAAGAAAAGCACTTTTGTTTGGTCATGTGATAAGGAGAGAGACTCTGAAGAATATTGTGATGCCTGGATAGGTCAACGGTAGAAGAGGGAGGGGCAAACCGAGAGAGTTGATGAAGGATGGATTCCATCGGTGGCAGTGAGGGATGTAATTGATTATTATGTGATGGATAATTTATAAAAGCTGAAAGGTGAGAACTGAAAATTATAGGGCATATCAGCAGAAAAGGTGGAAAAAAGAAAGCCTTATGTAGGAACAAACTTGGTAAGGAAGGGGGGGGGGGGAGAGAAATGTGTGTGGCAATCTTTGAGAGTAACAGGTGATAATGGAATCCACCTTGGTGTAGTGGCTAAACACTGACCTGCAGATCAAAAGGTCATGAAATCAAATCTGACTTGAGCCGGAATGTTTTTAAAAAACGGCCTTGGCTCCCAGGTCGGCCCAGTCTAACATAGGTAACAGGTAAAGTCCTGGGAAGTAAAGGTAGCCAACATGATGATGACCCTGTCACCCACCGAGTGCCAGCTGGTCTATAAAATATATATCTAGCACCATATGCCCAGTACACTAGAAGACATGGGAAAGGGTCTCTTTTTTTCTTCTTCTTCTTCTTCTCTTCCACCTTGTACCTCAGTAAAGTGTCAAGGGGAGATGTAATGCTCGTTGATGAGCTTTGTCAAGAGCTCTTTCAAGATTGATGTTCATTTCTGTAAAGCTGTTCTTTATGTCATCTCTCCATCTTTTCCTAGGTCTTCCCCTCGCTCTATCCCTGTTGTATCGTTTTAGTGTGGCTCGCTATGGCAGATAGTACCAGACCATTCTTGATAGGTGTCCAAACCACTTCATTGTTTGTTCTTTGATGACCTGTAAGACTTTATTCCTAGCATTTGTCTGATTTTGTGATTTCGTATTCTGTCTTTCCTTGAAACTCCTCCAGCTCTTCTAAGGCATTTCAACTCTGTTGTCACAATTCTGTGTTTATTAGAGGATGTACGTGCCAATGTTTGGCACTGATAACATAGTGTTGGCCAAAAAAATAGTTCTTATAGGTTTACTTTAGCAAGGATCTTTTTTAAGAGGTAATAATATAAAAGGTTCAGATTTATCAAAATATTTAGTCCAAGTGAAAGGACATTCTTGTTATACTATTATCAGCTTTTCTCTGTGTCCTATTCAATCAGATATCTCTGTCTTCAGTAAGATGTGAAAATTATTGACAGCTAGAGATATAAACAACACATTACAATTAGATTCATCAAATATTATGTATTCTCAACCCTACTGTATGGTGCAGAAACTTGTACAATGAACTGACAGCTAGAAAATAGAGTTGAATCTCTGGAAATGTAGATGTTCAGAAAAATAGCTTGTATTTTGTGGAAACAAAAAGTCAATTTAGGAGGTTCCCTGTGTGGGTTCCGGGGCCTCATTGTGGGGGAAAAAACAAAAACAGACCCACTACTTTCCCAGCAAGCATGTCGTAGGAGTCAACTAATTAGCGATTTCCTTCGAAGTCAGAGAGCATCTGCCCGAGCGACAAGGAACAACTAATTGCACACAAATAAGTCTGTAAAATGGATGTATACTCAAAACTTGGACACTCGCACAAAGCCAAAGTTCAAATGGGCAAACAACCAGGACTTTTCATTGTAGCTTACACTGGCGAACCAAGAAGAAAAAATAAGTTCAGAGGTTGTGGAAAGACTGCAAATAAAAAGAGAATTACTGAAAGAGATTTTTTTTAAAAAGAGAGAGAGAGAGACAGTTGAAATATTTTGGCCACATTAAAAGGCCAAACTCTTTTTTTTAAAACCACATTATAGGAAAAGGTGATAGAGGTAGACAACTATATACATGGAAGGACAACATCAGGAGATTAACAAACAGCAGTCTGAGAACATTTACAACTAAGACAAGATACATAGAGTTTTGGAGATCCATTGCATTCAACCATCATTGAGACAGCACCTAATTGATTGACTGAGTTATCACTTTGTGTTTTTGAAGATGGATCATCCAGAAACACTTATGGGAATGTCCAGATTGTTGTCATATCAATTCTCATTTCAGTGTTCAAGACTGGTATTTATTTCTTCTTTGTGACCAGTAAATCTCTGTTTTCTTACACTCCAGCCCTAGTTGCTCACTGTGCACTATTACAGCATCTACTAAACAGAGCAGATCTGTTCATTTGGATGTTAGTTATTATGCGTATTGGCATCAGTCTGACCCAGTCTTAGTCCATCCTCCGATGCAGTCGCCATCTCAGCACCTCCTTGCTCACCAAATCCAGTAGGAGTTGACTGGCATATCTTCTTTCTTTGCTCCACAGCCGCATCACTTGCTTGGTACAGATGAAGAAATGTAATAATATGTAATAATATGCTTGGCTTAAACTGAGTTTAATAAATACAAGACTTTGATTTGACATAGGGAAAAAAATTGCGACAAGTTCATCACTCCTCCTCTCTCTCCCCCCCCCCCCCCCCCCCCCATCCAGAACAAAGGTGTCGGTAGTCATGTGTTTCTTTTCCCCTAGAACAAAGGTGCCTGTAGTCATGTGTTTCTTTTCCCCTGGAACAAAGGTGCCTGTAGTCATGTGTTTCTTTTCCCCTTGAACAAAGGTGACTGTGGTCATGTGTTTCTTTTCCCCTAGAACAAAGGTGACTGTGGTCATGTGTTTTTTTCCCTCAGAACAAAGGTGCAGGTAGTCATGTGTTTTTTCCCCCTAGAACAAAGGTGCTGGTAGTCATCACGCATTATTTTTTAAAAAGGGTTCAGTGCTTGCCATAGAGTGTCTGTTACATTATCAATGGGGGAAAAGATGTGCATACTGTTGCATACTACCACAAAAGCTGTGACCTTATCTCGTAATATATCAGCTTCTTAGTTAATGAATCAAGTGCACTGTGCCCAAAAAGCTTATCGAAATGAGGAAGCACAACAGTAACAAAGGGCAGAGTACTCTAAAGACCAGGGGGTCACGTGAGAGACTATGAAAAATTATTAGTGTTTTTGCATCTCTCAACATCAGCCAGGAGAATGAACTCACATTAAATGTTTCAGATGAAGCTGACTTTCTGGTTTGCCACTGGTGGCGCAGGCTTTTGCATCAGCCGCTCTCTGGCTCTCAAAATGGCTCCATATGCAGGGTACGTTCACCGTTTGTTTTTATCAGCTATCTTATTATAAAATGCTTTAGGCGGTAATTGTTTTACTATTGCTTTAGCCTCCCCGTATGGATTACGGGACCCCATTATGGGGAAAACAAATATAGACCTACTGCCTACCAAAGTGCACGTCGTAAGAGTCGACTAATTAGGAGCTTCCTTTGAAGATGGAGTGCATATGCCCGAGAGGTAAGGGACCGGCAGGCTGCATTGAAATAAATCAGGTCTGTCAAATTGATGCGCACGCAACACTCAGGTTGTGGAACAGGACTGCCACCCAGAAGTGTACGAACAGCCAGAATGTTATGCCGGAATTTACAGCTCGTGAACGTAAACAAAGAAGACTATTGCTAAAATAATTAATGAGGTCTCAACATATGTGTTTATGGCCGAGATTTCAATACAGTTATCCCCGTGTTGGCTCCAGGGTCCCATTGTGAAGTGGGGGAGGGAGATAGATCCACTGCCACACCCCTTCTGAACAAGAATATAGTAATAATCGACTAATTAATGGTATTTCCTTCAAAGTCAGAAGGCATCTGCCTGAGAGACCTGGAACCAACAGCATATACAGATATGCCAGATCTGTACGAACGGATGTGCATGCAAAACTCAAGTTCTGGGACAAGGCTGAAATCCAGAAGAGGATGAACAACCAGAACTTTCCGCGCGAGTTTACAGCCGATAAATTTTAAGATGAAAAAAGTTAACTGTTAGATTTTGCAAAGGAGTGTAAAGTTTTCTGTTCATAATGTCATTTTTAACAAATGATTTCTTCCTTAGTGGTGGAAGGTTCATGACAACGGCAGAAACTATAAGGTTACCTGATGACTGTACACTAGGATACATTGTTGGTATGTTTTTTTTTTAAATCCAAAATATGTAGTTCATTTTAAAATTCTGTTATATCCTTGTGGTTGGCGGCTTAGGCGAGGCGTTGCGAACACATTTCGTAACGCCGGGGTGCCAGGTTCGATCCCAGCTGAGGACGATATTTGGTAGCAGAGCATCTAGCACTGATTTCGACAGTGGCAAACTACTGAATGTAAAATGTGCCTAGAAAAACCACAACAGCCAAACAATGCTAGGGTTGGTTCTGCAACGTCCTGTAAAGAATACGCAACTGACTGTCTGTGAGAGATAAAACAAACAAAGTTTATATTTTCAAAAAGTCACAAATTGGTCACGCAGGCCAGTCTCACATTCTGCCCTTGCAAACACTCATGTGTCAGACAGCAAAATTATATTTGATCTGTGAAGCATTTTTGGTTCATATCTCACATTTTATGTCCTAGGTGTATCAAGTAAAACACACAAATGCATGGCAGGCATATACATACATACATACATACATACATACATACATACATACATACATACATACATACATACATACATACATACATACATACATACATACATACACATACATACATCTATACATACACACATCTATACATACACACATACATACATACATACATACATACACATACATACACATACATACATACATACATACATACATTACACAAACTCACACATGCATGCCTACACCCACTCATGCATACCCATGTATATACTAACATACTCACACATACTCACACCTACCCATACACACTCATATATACCTATACATATACACATTTTGTACACATATATACACACCTAGTATCATATACACACATGCATACATAGACTGACTCATACATACCCATGTATAATCTAATATACACACAATCACACACTCACACCTACCCATACACACTCATATATTCCCATACATACACATTTTTACACATATATACACACTTAGCATCATATACACACATGCATACATAGACCCACTCACACATACCCATGTATAAACTAACATACACACAATCACATACTCATGCATACTAATACACGCTGTTGTATATAGACTCATTTATACCCATACATACACAAATACATACTCATATGTACACACTTAGTATCATACACACACATGTATATATACCTACTAGACATTGATCCATAAATAACACACACACGCTCATATACTCACTTCCACTTTATACATTCACACACATATTCATACGTGCACACCCTTTCATACATATTCTCATTAATACATACACATTCCAGCGGCGTCCGTGGCTAAGGCGTTGCGAGCCCGACTCGTAAGCCAGCATACTGCGATCGAAACCCACTGCGGGCTGCATGGATTTTTATCGTGGTGTGGGACGTCGCAGGTCGACCCAGCCTAAAATGGGTACCAGGATGGGCTGTCCTGGGAAAGTAAAGACAGCCGGCGTAATGCTGACCACATTACCCACAGAGTGCTGATGGTCTGTAAAAATATGGGACGCTCTGCCCATATGCCCTATGCGCCGAAAGGCGTGAAAAGGGATCTTTACTTTTACTTTACTTACATACACATTCCTACTTACACATGCTACACACACTCACAAAGACGCCCATAAATACAGGCGCTCAATCATATCTTCACTTACACACACTCATACATGCATATGCAAACATATAAACATTCACTCATACATACCTATGTATACACAGACACCCATACATATGCATTCCCAAAGAGAAATAGAGATTGTGAAAGTACACTTTTTTTAAGTGCAATAATTTCGCCCTAATTTCAGAGCATTTGTTGAAACATAAACTGACAGTTGTAGAAGAGTTTCATTCTCATCTGGAAGCCTTGTGGCTCATCAAGCCCCATCAGCTGGATAAACAGGTCTGTGAGCAAACAAACACTTTATGTCATATACATCATCATCATTGCTTTCTTATTCGCGCTCACCATCTGTAAACTTTGGTGGAAAGTTCTGGTCATTCAACCACTTCAGGACTTTGGTCTTGTTCCTGGGCTTGAGTTTTGTCTTTGCATCTGTTTCACAGATCTGGCTTATCTTTATGCAGACTGTTGGTTCTTGGCCTCCCAGGCAGATGCACTACAACTTCGAAGGAAAGATCCCCTAAACAGTCTCTTCTCTGTCATTTATGTTTTCCCAGGAAATTTTTTAATTTTTTTTTTTCACTTTAGTAATGTCTCTGGTTCAGAAGGAATTTAACAGCACAAAAGGATGGTTGGAACAAATGTTCAAATAAGGAAATTATCACTTTGGGAAATCACAACTGGCGACCCTTTAATACAGTTCCCTCATGTTGTGGCAACCCTTTAATACAGTTCCTCATATTGTGGCGACCCTTTAATACAGTTCCCTCATGTTGTGGCAACCCTTTAATACAGTTCCTCATATTGTGGCGACCCTTTAATACAGTCCCTCATGTTGTGGCCACCCTTTAATACAGTCCCTCATGTTGTGGCAACCCTTTAATACAGTCCCTCATGTTGTGGCAACCCTTTAATACAGTCCCTCATGTTGTGGCCACCCTTTAATACAGTCCCTCATGTTGTGGCAACCCTTTAATACAGTCCCTCATGTTGTGGCAACCCTTTAATACAGTTCCCTTATGTTGTGGCAACCCTTTAATACAGTCCCTCATGTTGTGGCAACCCTTTAATACAGTTCCCTTATGTTGTGGCAACCCTTTAATACAGTTCCCTCATGTTGTGGCAACCCTTTAATACAGTTCCCTTATGTTGTGGCAACCCTTTAATACAGTCCCTCATGTTGTGGCAACCCTTTAATACAGTTCCCTTATGTTGTGGCAACCCTTTAATACAGTTCCCTTATGTTGTGGCAACCCTTTAATACAGTTCCTCATATTGTGGCGACCCTTAAATACAGTTCCCTTATGTTGTGGCAACCCTTTAATACAGTTCCCTCATGTTGTGGCAACCCTTTAATACAGTTCCTCATATTGTGGCGACCCTTTAATACAGTTCCCTTATGTTGTGGCAACCCTTTAATACAGTCCCTCATGTTGTGGCAACCCTTTAATACAGTTCCCTTATGTTGTGGCAACCCTTTAATACAGTTCCCTCATGTTGTGGCAACCCTTTAATACAGTTCCTCATATTGTGGCGACCCTTAAATACAGTTCCCTTATGTTGTGGCAACCCTTTAATACAGTTCCCTCATGTTGTGGCAACCCTTTAATACAGTTCCTCATATTGTGGCGACCCTTAAATACAGTTCCCTTATGTTGTGGCGACCCCTAAACACTTATTTTTCTTCATAACTTCAATGAATATGTGTTTTTGGATCGTCTAGGAAGCCTAGGGTCAAAAAAGATCGCGCCCCACAGGTTTAGAACCACTGTCTTAATGGATCCAAGGCTCTCAGCCAGCTCAGGCCAACCCTTAAACTTGTTCATTCAAGATTAACATTTGTGGCTGAAGAATTATTTCTTTTTTAATCAACAGGATGTGGTGAACTCTGAAACCCATCCTACCCTTTGTCACTCTTGTTTACAGCATGCTTCTCACAATACAGTATTTGTTTTCTTTGCCTTCCCTAAGATCCCTGGTTGTATATTAGCAGCATTACTGTCAGAGAGAGAGAGAGAGAAAATACTCATAGAAAGTGAACACTGAGGTGGCAAGTGTCAAACATAAGAGAAGACAATACATAATTTTTGTTTCAAGAAGAGCCAGTCACCTGATATGCATTACCTGTCCCTGAAAGGCTCTGGAAATAGTAACATTTGAAATATTATTAGCACTAGGATACATGTAGTAATAAATGGGACCCTCTTGTCCCAAGACGGCCAGAGTAATGCTGACCACATTACCCACCTAGTATGGTCTGTAAAAATATGAGTGCTCTTCCCATTTGCTCGATGTGCCTAAAGGCGTAAAAAGGGATCTTTACTTTACTTTTTACTCTTGTCCCGAGAAGACTCATGAAGATGCATCTGCATTTCAGCAGTGATATATTTCAAAAAGCATAGTTAAATTGCTGATAGTTCTTTTTGCACCTGCATAGTTGATATAAGAACGGGGTATGAATGATTGGCACTTTTCTCTTTCCTGATGATAGTGTTTTATTGTGCCATATAGAGACATGGGAGTCACAGCCTATGGCGATGGCGAGTGTGACTAGCAAGACCTGCCCACATTAAAAAAAGTCTTCCACAATGATAGCATGGGATTTCAGGACCATTGTTAATAACATTTGTGTTTAATCCTTTTCTTCTCAGATTCTCAGCTCTCATCCTTTTTGCAATCATTTCTTTTTTCACTCTCATTCCCTTCCTGATATGCCCTCTCCACACAACACAGTCCATGGCATTTTGTTCCCATAAGTCTACCTCAATACCTGTATCATTTATGTCCCGCTTGCACACATCTTTATACCAGAGTAGAGATCGGCCTCAACATCTTCTACCCGTCTTTAATTCACAATAAGGGATGTCCTTAGGGACTCTTGCCATCCTCCATTCTCCAGGTATGACCCAGCCACCAGAGCCTTCGTAGACTGAGCATTGAGAAGACAGTTGTAGTAGCAATACCTCAGTGTTTGTAAATTTGTCCAGCCACTTAATGCCAAGTATTCTTCTTAGGCATTGCATGTGAAAGCTATTTAGACATCTCTCCTGATGCGAATAAGTTGACCACAGGGTATGAATGTATTAAGTGAAAAATAACATTGGGGGGGGGGGGGTGGTGTGAAGTCAGTGGCGTAAAAATGTTCTGTGAGCTTCAGTGATAGAGTTCATAAAAATACAGCATAAGTCACCCATTAGTTTTATGCCCCAGGGAATTTATTCTATTTAATGCTTCACTATGTCACATTTATTTATTACTCTGTCTATTTCAGAATAAAATTTGAATGTATATAAAATAATTTTATTAATTAATTTATTTATTATTGACCTATCTAAAACTATTAGAAATTCCCACTGGTTGATGGCGTCTGCAAGGTGAAAGGATTAAAGCAATTGTTTCCTTATATCTTTAAATTTATGTTTGAACATAGGCTGTCTCCCTATCACCAAATGTTTATAGAATTCGTGATTTGTTGGATTTTGTAGCTAAAGTTTTCTATGGGATGATACATCCGGTGACACTCCAGTCGTCTCTAATCACTTTAAATGTTATACGTGGCAAGTTACAGTATTACTGTTCTTTGCTTCCTTTATGGACCCCTGCAACATACTTCTTCTTTTGTTATCCTACTGCTTGTGCCATAAAGCATTGTAGAGAGGAGTTACATGTAGTTTACTGTCTTTTGCCAGGTGAGTAGTCTGTGTTAATAATGTCTTACTGCATTTCTGTCGTGTTTCCTTTACCCATCTCTTTCTTCATCAGCCTCTTGACTTGAAGCCTACTGTTCTCATGTAGTACGCTCCAGCTGCTGGCTGATTTTGTTCCTTTCGGACCAGATGATCAGACTGTTTGATGTTCTGTGAAATCATTGACCAGTCCTGTGCCTACCGTTGTTCTTAGTTCTTCTTTGGTGACTTTTGTCCCATTTTGTTTGTTCCCCGCCACATTTCTTATATATCTGACATGTTGTAATTATGTATTTCTAGGCCTGTCCTTGTCTGGCAACACACTTAACTGTCTGAAACTGGCAATTGAAAATATAATTATAACAGTTCAAATATAACTTCATATTCGCATTGTAAATCTAATTGTTCTCACAAAGTAGTTTGCATGATGTTCACATGGTTTTGTATCTTTTTTCTACTCACTGCAGTTTTCTCAAAGAATAAGCAGATGGCTGCATGTTTCAATTTCTTCTTAGATCAGTTTATCTTAGGGAAACCACATTGCTGCACATCTTTTTTTTTTTTTTTTTACAAGCCCAGAGGACACTGGGACGTTGTTAGGACTGACCCTTTAAGGACTACACAACGGGAGAGGACTAGCACTCAATAAGCCAACAGGACACAATACCACCGAAAACCATCACATGGTATAACAGCCACACTTACAGATTACAGTTACCCCCAGACGACAGGACAATGGACACAAAAGTTAGAAGCCTCATTTGAACCTCAGGACCAGAATGAAAGTCCCAGACATGTTCAGAGTAACAATACCACACAGTTGTGAATAATATGCCACAGTTCTCACCATCAACAACAATTAAAGCTGTTAAACTTGGCACAAATCAAACCAGACCGCATTTATAACTCAAACTGTTCTCAGCAGGTTTTAATGTCATATTTTGAATGAATTTTGTATCACCAAACTAACAACAAAAAGTGTCTCACAGATCACCCTGAGTTTCTCTGAATACTCCGGCAAGCAGAATGTGATTAATGTCCAAGGATTCAGCGAAACAGAGGATCCAACAAGGTAGGAAACAAAAGTCTTACTTTGTTGTGATAATTAATTCTTTGAAATCTTTATTGTTATATTTATTTTAAAAGCTAACTATTGAAACACTTGTTTATTCTGGCCTCGCATTTTGCATGTCGTAAACGCTGCAAATGAAAGATGTTTTCCATGAAACTGGAGGGCATCTGCCTGAGAGGCAAAGAGCCAACTGTTTGCACACAAGTAAGCCATATATGTAAAATGGATAAGCAAGCAAAACAGGTTCTGTTAACAAACCAAGGTCCAGAAGTGAAAGAGCAACCAGAACTTTCCACAAGACTTTACAGCCAGTGAACACTAAGGGGGGAAAATGCTAGTGATTCAGTGTGCTCATAGCAGTTTTCAAATGCAATATGCAGGCATAGAAACAGCAGTTTATAAAACCTCATAGACACGTTTAAGTTAATATTATATCTATTTCAAGGTGTTTGTGTTTAACTTGGCAGTTTTACATTCTGTAGTTTTCCTTTGCTATCTAAACAAACAAGGCTCATAGAGTTTGGAGAGAAAACAATTCTAGGACCCTTTTCCACACTTGGGCATAAATGGCTCGACCAATATTTTTTAGTCCAATCAGAACTCGGTGGGCAATGTGGCCAACCACCTTTACTTCCCAGTACTTTACCTGGTACCTATTTGAGACTGGGTTCCATCTTGGAGCCAAGTTCATTTGTGAAAAAAGTTGAACTCTGTTCAGATTTGAACCCGACCTTCAAATGCACAGACAAGTGTCTAGCCGCTACACCATGACTGCTCCCATTTGGGGAAGTGGTCAAGTCAATTGCCTCGTGCTGTGAAAGTCATGGGTTTGTTACAGCTGTGTCATTTGGTTCACTGGTGCAGAACCTTGGAGATCCCCACCAAAGCTGCCATGTTCTTGTTTTGTGGACGCTCTTGGTAGGTAGCTAACCGTTATGCAGACAGGGGCCAAGCCATAAGGGTTTAAACCCAGTGGTGCTGAATTGGGCAGTCTGTCTGCCTGCATGTTTCCCTACACACCGGCATAGCCTGGAGAAAATATCCAGAGGACGTTAACTACCCGGGACCTCTTAAGCAATGCTTTCCGCTCTGTACGAAGCATGCCTGTCTCCACCTTTCTCAACATGCTCTGTGAGTCAGTTATAATTATGACATGTGTACAGCTGATTTTCAAGCCTGCGGCAGCATTATTTTACTGCATTCATAACCCCTAAGACACAGGCACCGATTAGACATATTAACGGTTGTCAGTACTGTGGGTTTTTCCTTCTTTATTTGCTATCACTGACTGTAAACTCCAGTAAGAAATCCTGGTTTGTTTGTCTTCTTCCAGAAATTGAGTTTTGTGTGCACATCCGTTTTACAGATTTGGCTTACTTGTAAGCTGACTGTTGGTTCCTCACCTCACAGGCAGATGCACTATGACTTCAAGGGAAACGCATCTAATTAATGGGCTTTTATAACATGCTTGTTAAGGGGAGGGGTCATTTTTTTCTTCCTCCCTCCCAATAGGGCCCTAAAATCCACACTGGGAAATTTGGCAGTTCTGTATTCTATAATTTGCTGTCTATGAACAAACAAGGTTGATACAGCTGTCAAAATGATTGCAGAGCAGTCTGCTGAAAATCACTTGCAGCTGACTTGGAACCCACTATAGCAGCAGCATTATGAAGCTGCATTCATAACTCCTTAGCCACACATGTCAACAGTTGTGAATATGGTGTTTCATAAAATAAATATTATTGTATTGACTCTCTTTGCAGATTTCGGTCGCTGCACTGCTTTTTGTTTCCTAACTTTCGAGAATGCCGGGTTCTCTCCTGACAGTTTAAAGGATAACATCACTACAGACGTTTACCATGTTGATTGTGTTGATTCTGAAGGGCCACAGTTTGAATCCGGCAGCATATTTTGCTGTCATGTTGCGTTATACAAACACTCTTATTGTCTAGGGTTGTTACAGTCAGTTCTTTTCAGCTGGCTTTTTTAAAATGTGTTAACTGTACAATAGCTCAGTTAACCACAAGCATTCCTGTTGAAAACAAAACAAAACATTCATTTAAACTTGTCACATTCTTTTGAAAGAAGTTGTCTTTATGAATTCTGTCTGAAGTTATCCAGGTATAATACACTGTTATCCCCCTCCCGCTTCCCAGTTATGTGTCTTGTTTAACATGAATTCCAAGTTTCCGCCTGTAAATTTGCTAAGTTTTTAGATTGAAAGGGAGTCACAGCCAAATTGAAAGTATTTTGACCAAGTTAAACATCGTGGCGTGGAGAGAACTGTAATGAAGAGTAAAATGTCTGGAAAACAAGGCAGGCTGATCTCTGCAAATATGGATGCAAGACACTGAAGACTTTGCAAGCACATAGGCTGGAGAATTGGCTAGAGAAGGAGAGATTTTGAGGCATACTGTGACAAGAGCAACCTTCTGTAAAAGGCCTGATGATAGTGGGAGTCATGATGGCACAGTAACTCTTGTGTGTCGACTAGTCAGCAGTTTTTGTATTCAAATCGCTCTGAGATGGATTTTTCCAGTGCAATCAGGTAGCTTAAAATGGTAATCAGGAAATTTTCTGGAAAGGGAAGGTGGTTAATATGACATGACATTCCCTTTGAAGTACGGGTTGGTCTAAATATGTGGAACAGGTATGGTGGTTATTAACACGTAATATGGCATACGAAAATGTTGCTGAATTAAGACAGGTGTCTCCTGGGTGAGGGATAGGTGTCCTGACCACTTTATGCCACCCATTCCCCAGTGTGTGCGTGTGTCAAGGGTAATATAGAATGCTGATCATAACTGAACTGGTGCTTTTGCAGAATAAATGTCAAACATGCAGATCTGTGGGGTAGAACCGGGGCTTTTAAAAAAAAAAAGTTCTGGTGGTATGCAGTGCGGCACCATTTTATGGGCATTATTTGTTAAATAGCAGCACCTTTGGCCGCCCCCTCCCCATGCTTTGGGGTCGGAGCCTTATTTGGAGTGGTTAGTGCCCCTGCCCCCAAATGGAGGGGATTCTCTTAGGTAACAAACACACAAAATTATAATTAAAAAATAAAGCGTTTCATTGACATATACAAAACTATATATATTTATTTTTATAGGAAACTGAATGAACTAACACAATCTTTATGAATCACAGTGGCATCTCAGCATTGATTCATCTTAGCTATCAAATTTTCAGATTTATGCCTGCATTTTTGTATATTTTTTTTTTTATTAATTAGCACAAGGTAGTCGCCGTGGCAGAGCAGCTAGATGCGCGCCGCGGATCAGAAGGTTGTGGGTTCGCTCCCTGGCGGAGCCGGACTTTTTCAAAAATGACCTTGGCTCTCAGGTCGACCCAGCCTTGAGTTGGTACCGGGTGCAGTCCCGGGAAGTAAAGGCGGCTGGCGTGATGCTGACCACATCACCAATCGTGTGCCGTTGGTCTATAAAAATATAGGTCTAGCCCTATATGCCCTATACGCCTAAAGAAGTATAAGGCATATAAATTGTCTTTTTTTTTTAATTAGCACAAACATGACTAAATTAAACAGTTTGGCTAAATTCTGATGAATGAAGCCTGAATAAATCCTAACACTTTTGTTTTGGGAAGTAAAGCCCATATAGGCCTTCCAAACACCCCTGTCACATGCTTCTTCTTCTCCTGCCTCAAGCTGTGTTTAGGCTGCTATGATGCAACACCGTTGTTCAAGTGACACCCGCACCAAAAATTGGTGTAAAATTATAGAACACAATAAACTTTCATAAAAGCCGCCATTCAACAGCCCACATGTGCAAAAAGCAATCTGATTGGCTGGTATGAAGACCAGCCAGTCTCAAGGCTTATATCACCGGGGCGACAGATCGGCCCAGCCGTCTTTTTGGCTATTGTGCTGTTGGGCCAGTAGATTGGTCTAGTCTTCCCCAGAGGGTTAAACTTTGTAGTGGATAGAGCTAAACAAATTTCTGGCAGTCAGAAGGTGAAGAAAGGATGCTGGACGTGGCAAGGACACACTTTGAGAAAACCTGATAATATAGTTGGAACTTTTTCTGAGCTAAAGAAGTGGAGGCAGATTTTTTTATTATTATTATTCAGAAAAAAAGAATTTGAGAATGAAGTTAAAAAAGATGTTAAGTTGCACATGATGAGAAAGAGATGGACAACCTAGGACAAAGTTGGTGGAGGGACTATGCTCCACTGAGCGGAAAGTACAGAAGCGGAGGATAATAAATTGGGTTATTTGTGAAAGAAAACATGTTATAGCTGATAAAGAAGAAACCAGGCTTAGCAGTCGTTGTAAATCTTGATTGTTGTTGTTTTTATGACCTGTTGTACAAAAGTACAACTAAATACTTCCATTGGTTGTTCACTTTCAATTTTTATAACTCTGTAAAGTATTGTTTTGTAAACTGGAGCTGATTTGTTACGTATTTTTAAAGGCGAAAACTTTATTTGTATATTTTTCTTTTTAACTGCATGACAAACAAGGGCACCCCCCCCCCCCCCCCCCCCCCCCCCCCCCCCCCCCCCCCCCCCCCCCCCCCCCCCCCCCGCTTTTTTTTTCAAGTTTTGCTGGTTAAGATACTGTGTGGGATTCATTGATCTTTTACGGGTTTGATATTTCATTGGAGATCAATGAATCCCCACAGTATCTTAAAGCCCACCCTATTATCGAAAGGAATTAATGTATTTGGTGTGTTCTGCCTCTTCTCATCTTTGTCCTCCTTCACCTTGTAGTGTCGAGGTGAAATATAAACGGTAGAAAGTGCCTGTTTGTGAGCCTTATATATGGTTTCGCTAGTCTTGATTTTGCATGTAGTCAGGTTACCATCAGAGACTCGCAAGTTCTCTCTGCCGTCATAAATTTTTATGATGTCTGCGCTGCTTGTATTATTTGTTGCTCAGATGCCTGTTTCTTGTTTGTTTCCTTCTCTTATCTTAGAGTTTCCCACGTAGTTTTTTTTTTTTTCTTGTTTATTTGCTTTTTTTTTTTTAAACCAAGGTAAGAAAAACTTCTGTGTTTACTTCTCTCATCTTAAAGTTTTCCCACGTAAGTTTAATTTCTCTTGTTTGTTTGCTTCTCTCACCAGTTCTCCAAAGGCAGATTTTTATATTCCACCGTCTCGGAAGTTTTCCCGCACATTTTCCCTGCGGTTTTGATGAGCCAGCCGTCTGGAGACACACCTGTCACCACTCCCCCACCTCTATCCCATAATTTTATAAATGTGCCTTGTTATACATGGCCCCATGAGTTTCCGTAGATAAGAAAAATAGACATATCACCCTTTCCCTTAACAAGCATAACTCCAGCTGTGCTTAGATGTGTTCTTTGGCAGTGGAAGTAACGCATCGAAATGGGTTTTCAAAACAGAGATAGTCCTGTAGAGCATATTATATACGTGCAAATGGTTTTCATTATAAATGTTTATTTTTCCTGCGTATGGAAACTTATGGGACACCCTGACCAAAATAGTTAAAGAATATTAATTTCTGTTGACTTTCATCTACTAAACCCTACTGTATGAGTGTGTGCGTGTATATACATATATCTGGGAACAATACTGAGTTATTTGTTTACTTTTTTCATATTATATGTACAAATGATTTCCATATATTGCATGCCGTCCCAGCAGTCTTTCATTTTTACTGAGAATCTGACCAACTGTTGTTCATGATTGTTTACTTACTACTTACATAATGTATATAATATTCAACTGGATTTATTATATTTTGCTTGTTATGGATATTTCAGTGATTATCTTGCACTTGTAATGGATACCTAGTGATTTAATTTCACATGTAATGTATATATTTCAGTGAATACATTTCACTTGTAATGGCTATTTCATTGATTATATTGCACTTGTTATTGATATTTCAGTGAATCTATTTCACTTGTAAAGAATATTTTCAACTCTGTCATTTTGGAAGTAACTGTTTGTGAAATGAACAAATGGCACCTGTGTTTCTTTATTGGAAAGCAAAGTTGGGTCCTGTATTCTGTATTTACTGCTTGAAATAAGATTCAAACAGAGCATTATTTTCATGTTTATTAGTGTGTGTGTGCTTTTTTCTGTCATTCTTAACTGCATTTGATGATCATTTTTTGATTCCCAATTTTAGCAATGCGTTCCACAGGCTGATATGTTTTGACGTTTTTTTTTTTTTTTTTTTTTACAATTTGTTTCGGCTGGATGCTGCTAGCTTTAAGATTGATGGCTGACTCTGTGTATCCACTGACTGAATGGTTAAAGCAGTGGCTTTCCAACTTTTTCATGTGGAAGCTCCATTAAATATATGACATTAATCCCTCAACCCTGACCTCAAAAAGAAAAAAAATGTGATTAAAAAGATGCCAGGATAGCATAACTGGTGTCTAACAGATGTTATGGTGAGTAACTGACAGATAGCATAACTGGTGTCTAACAGATGTTATGGTGAGTAACTGACAGATAGCATAACTGATGACTAACAGATGTTATGATGAGTAACAGACAGACAGCATAACTGATGACTAACAGATGTTATGATGAGTAACAGACAGACAGCATAACTGATGTCTAACAGATGTTATGATGAGTAACTGACAGACAGCATAACTGATATCTAACAGATGTTATGGTGAGTAACTGACAGATAGCATAACTGATGTCTAACAGATGTTATGGTGAGTAACTGACAACTAGAATAACTGATATCTAACAGATGTTATGGTGAATAACTGACAACTAGAATAACTGATGTCTAACTGATGTTATGGTGAGTAACTGACAGACAGCATAACTGAAGTCTAACAGATGTTACTGTGAGTAATGGATAGACAGCATAACTGA